CGCCCACCCCAGCAGCACACCCAGCTCCCCCTTGCCCTACCTGCACTGCCAGCACCAGGCGGATGAGGTCCACCACGACCTCCTCGTTAGCCAGCTCAATGCTGATGAGCATCAGCATGCTGTAGAGAGCCTCGTAGTGAGCCTGCATGTTGCTCTCCTCCTTGCATATCAGGTAGATGTGCCGGTAGAGCTGCTGGCCATGCTGTGGGGACATGGAAGGATGCAGTCACCTCCTGAGCATCCCCTGTGAGCAACGCTGCCATCAATGCAGAGAAAGCAAAGCAGCAGGGCCCAGCAAAGGGGCCTCTATCCATGCAGGAGGGAGCAGAGCTCCTCCAGTCACCACGCAAACGAAGAAAGCCCCAGGGAGAGGGAGCTGCCACTATCAGGTGGTCTTTCACCATTCGATGCTGGACCCTGACGGGGAAGATGCACAGGCAGCTCCAAGAGCAGAGCCCAGGGCAGGCAAACAGCACTCACAGCACTGAGCCCAGGGAAAGGATGCCTCTGGTGCAGAAGCATTACAGAAATCACAGCTCAGGCCAAAACAGAGAAATAAAGTCCTGAGACACATTGCTGGATTGCGAGGCATAGGACAGGGCAGGGCACACGCTGGCGCAAGGGAAACACAACTCTGCTGTGGTTTTCAGGTGAGGGGCTGTGCTGCTGCTCCTTGGTGTGCGCAAAGTAATAAACTGATCCTCTCTTGGCCTCGAGTTAGCTCCAGAGGGGTTTGCACCACCTCTGAAAATGCTTTAAGTGGATAAAACTAACTAACTAAATAAAATAATCAGGCAACTTCGAAAGCCACTTGATAAATAGCTTTTGGGATACCAATACATCCTGGGGTACTCATTCCTTGGGACAAATAGCAGATTTAGGTTTCTAGAAAGGCCCACGCATGAAGCGCTGATGGAGATTGAATCCCACCGGCTTTTCCCAGGGACATCCCCCGGTTTAGAGGCATCCCAGGGCTCCCCCATGGCTCAGTCTGACTTGGGGAAACAGACGCACAGTCCTTACACCGGTCTGCACGAGGACAGCTTGACCCAGACCCTGCCACTACCTTCTTCATGAAGACAGTATCTTGGCGCGAGCATTTGTCCACTTTCAGCTTCAGGACCGAGATGTCGCTGATGGTGCTGCAAGGAAAGGCCAAAGGGAAGGGAAAACTCAGACACTGGAGGGAGGAGGCGCGATTCCCGCATGCCTGCAGAGCTGCTGGCCAGGAACGAGCTGTCTGGGAGGAAGCGAGGGGGGAAGCTAAAAGCTTTTAAAGCTTTTAAAACCCAGCTGAGCAATTCAAGAGTACCGAGTCAAATCACTACAGGGTTTCAGGGTAGTGGTGCTCAGGAACACAAAGGCAAGTTGACAGAAGTATGCAAGCCAAGTGGATTAGCAGGACCACAGCAAAACCCATGGAGATGTTTCCATCTGGGATTACAGTCACCTTCTTCCAAGGTAACGCAGCATGGACAACGCAAGTGCCCAGCAGACCTATCCGTGGGGATGCAGCGCAGTCGATGAACCCACTCAAGGAGGTTATTGCTCCTGTGCGTCCTCCTGGGACCACTGTCTACCCATGGTTACTTTCAGCAGCACGGTCCCATGTACCTCTGGGCAGAGACCCCTCCCCATCCATCTGGCTCTTAGCAGACCCCTGATCTGCAGCATGAAACCACCCCAGAACTGCTACCAGATTTATTACTAATCCTGCCAGCGCTCCCAGCCCAGCAGATCTCCCTCCCCAAGCCTGCTCTGCAAGGTCTGCAGGTCCCAGCCCTGTTGGGGAGCCCCTGGGGACATACGTGATGGTGGAGAACTTTTGCCGGTTTCCGTGGCGATCGATGAAGCTGATGAGAATCTCCAGGACAAAGAGGCGGATCTCAGCATCCTCCATGAGGGCTGCGGAGAGCAGCCTGTCCAGGAAGGCGCTGGGAAGTGCCGTGAGCATGTTACTGCACTGGAAGCCCACAGAGACCTGCAAGCATCAAATTAAAAGGGAGGCAACATGACAGCGTCACTTCAGGGCGGTTAAAACGCACCAAGAAAGAGGGGATGCAAGCAGAGAAGACAAAGTACAGCTTGCGCTCTTCCTAAAGCACCCTGGGGGACAGGGTCCCCGAGCTCAGCACCCCCATGCCAGCAGCCAGGGACCCCACGCGTCTCACGGAGGCTGGACACTCCTGTGGGGATGGGGATACGTTCCTACCTGGAGGAGGGACTTCAGAAGCATTATTTGTGTCAGCCGATTCCGGTTCTCCCTGTCATGGAGAGAAGAAACAAATGGTAAAATCCAAGTGGAAACAAAACAGTTCCTCCTTCCATACCCAAAGGATGGAAAAGCCTCAGAAAGGGCAGGACCCGTTTCCCAAGGGTCACCACCACAAACAGCCACGCTGTAAAGGTCTCCAGCAAATGAGCTCCAGATTGAACAGCCAGCAAAAAGGCTGCTAAAGGAATGATGAATATCAAAGTATCCATCCTGCCATAGGCAGCAGAAACAAGGCAGCACTCGCATCTCCAGGCAGGCGCAAGCTGAGCTCGGGACGATGAAACACCCTCTGGACGTGCCCATCCCACAGCAGCTCTCAAGGGACGCCAGGCACCAGCTCTGAACAGGCTCCTCGCTTTTAAGCAGCTGAAAATAGGCAAGACGAAGCCCAAGCCCTCCTGTCCATGAAGGTACCCCTGCTCCTCGCTTCCGTCTCGCTTCTTGTAAAGCCACCTTGAACCACGCTTCCACTTCAGCGTGGAAGTTTCCACTTCAGTGGGGGTTTTTTAATGCAAAAAAGGGAAATCTTGAATTCTCTGCTGTCTGAAATCAAGTCTTTCCTAGCCCTGTACTGGAAGGGGACAGGGGGATTTCCAGGCTGTCCCATCACCCACAACATGCTGCCTGTGCTGCCTACCTCTGCTCAGGGACTGAGCTACACTGCAAATGGCAGCATCCCCGTAAGCCAAACTGCAGGCTGCAGCTCCTCTGCAAACTCCTGGTTCACCTACACGCCCAGAGCAAGCACCATCCTTCACACAGTGGCAGACGAGATTTTAAAAACTCTCCCGGAGGAAGCTCACGCGCTGCTAAAGGAGCAGTGACAAACAGCACTGGCACAGCCAGCCTAGCACTGAGAAGTGCCTGCCTGCCTGAGGCTATGAGCCCGATTCTGCTCCTGCAGCAAGGAAAGCTGCCCTGGCCAAACCGCAGACAGCACCCAGCGTGTCTCCCACCGCGGGAATCGGGATTGAACGCAGGCGTCAGGAATTACCGCCGTGTGAGCGAGGAGCAGAGCGCGTCTCCTATCAGCCGGCAAAGTGTCTCTCCCATCAGAGACAAGTGGGAAGAGCCTGACCGTACTTTGAAGATAAATATAGCATGAAAATCTGTTTGCTCCTTACCTACATGTTTCAGCACTGATACCCTCGCTCCAAATAGCTCTCATGGTCTGTTACCACACTTCTTAAGCAATTATGTTGTTTGGGTGTTTTCCCTTCCTTCTCTTCCTCCACCGCTGGGTATAAATAATACCTCCTGCTCAGTGTTAATAAAAGCTCAGAGGCAGCTCAGAGGGGCCAGGCGCCAGTGGTGGGAGGCAGTGATGAGCAACCAGTCCCACGAAGCCATACACGAGCTTCTCAAAAGCCACGGGCAGCCCTCACTTCACCTGTGGCCACCTCGCTGCCCTGAGACATCTGAAGTCACTCCCCTGCATATTATTTTTAGTTCCTGGCTACTTTTGGATGATACCCCAGGACCGAGCTCCTGACAGCTGAATCTCTCAGTAGGTACCTGAAGAAACACAGAGTTCAACTGCAACACCACTGCCTGTAAACACTTCTCCTCCTTGATGCTCTGGTGTTTCAAGAGGCCCTTGTCATCACATTTGCAGCAGACAGCAAAGCATTTTAAACAAGGATCTCACATTCCTCAGCTCCCCGCGGTCTTCGGTGGAAGCTCTCGATGCTCAGCCTTTCCGATAATGTGCCCACGTCCCACTCTGTCCCCAAATACAACCTCAAGGTGGGAACGGTTTCGGGAGCTCCCCAGCACTTTCTGCCCCACATTCACAGCCATACACCACCGCACACGGGACAGTGGCAGGGACAGCAGGGCAGAGAGGAGAGGAAGAGGAGGGAGGAAGGCATTCGTTCTCACCCGGCTTTGCCAGCTTCGATGGACTGCTGCGAGGAGGGTAGCGGCACCTTGTTCATGATGAAGACCATCACCTCAGATTGCTGGTAGGTGGGCAGCGTGCTGGCAAAGGACCCTGCGGGGGGACAAGAGCAAAGCTGGCAGCGTGCGAGGCGCAGCCCACCCGCTCCCAGAAGCACCCAGTGCCCTGGGGTCTGCCCGCCTGCCCAGCTCCAAGCCGGCTGCCGGACCCTCGTAGCCAGGGTGGGATAGGACAATGCCTGCCCGGATCCGTAACCCGCAGGCAGCTTTACCTTCAGGGTGATTCAAGAACCACCAAAATGCCTCCAAAGTGGGGCAGCCCCAGGCCCAGGCAGGGTGAGGCTGAGAGATGCCAACCCCTGCCTCCACCCCTTCCTTTTTTTGGGGCTGGTGCATCCCCATCCTCAGCAGCTGCAGCAGGCTGATGCCTGCCCTCTTTTCCTCCTCTCCTTCCCTTCCTCAGCGTCTCCTGCCCAGGGAGAAACCCGCCTCTGGCTGCGCACAGCCGCTCTGGGGCGGGGTCGCACCCCCCCCTCCCGATCCCCCCCCGCCACTCTTGCAGCGCGCCGCGACAGATAAATCGCATTTCCCATCACCGCTTTTAGGCTGAGGTTGACTTTGTTTCACCCCGGATAATCCTGCAGACGCACAAGGCAGAAACCCACCACGCAGGGGGTCACCCACCAGCACAGCACCTGCGCTGGGCGCCGCTGGGTGCCCCACCTATGGTTTTGATGACAGCTTCCTGGAACATCCTCTCCTCGTGCTCCTTGATGATCTTGGTGCTGACGCCAGCGGCACAGTCGTAGCTCCCCGTCAGCGCGTAGTCAATGCTGAGCCGCAGTTGCCTCAGCAGGGTGTTAAACACCTCCAGCACTGTGGGGCCTGGGGTGGCGAGAGGGGAGAGACCGTGACATCGCCAGAGGAAAGCGGGTAGTTTTCCCCACAGAGATGGAGGCTGTAGTTCCCCCCAGGACAGTGTGGTTTACACCTCCCACCACCCCATAAAGAGGTTGAAAAACAGTTTGGCCAGACACACAGTGACTTTTAACCCCAACCAGCTCCCCCAGTCGAGACAGGAGAGAAATGCCCTTCCGGGAGCACTGTCAGCGCAGCACATTCACAGCAAGCCCCTGAAAATCCCTTTGCCCCCTGCCACAAAGGCAAAGGCAGGCTTGGAATCAGTCCTCTAGGTTTAGGTCATAGAATCACAGAATCATAGAATCATAGAATTGTTTAGGTTGGAAAAGACCTTTAAGATCATCCAGTCCAACCATTAACCTAACACTGCCAACTCCACCACTAAACCAATTAAGGGGAGAGGAATAATTAATTTCATGTTTCCTGGCTTGGTGGCTGGATTATTTTTTCATTAAAGAAAAACTGGGAATCACTAAGGTTGGAAAGGCCCTCTAAGATCATCAGCCCAACTATCAACCCAATACCCCCATGCCCACCAAACCATGTCCCCAAGTGCCACCTCTGCCCGTTTTCTGAACCCCTCCAGGGATGGGGACTCCCCCACCTCTCTGGGCAGCCTGTTCCATTTCCATGAAGAAATTTCTCCTAATATCCAATCTAAACCTTCCCTGATGCAGCTTGAGGCCATTTCCTCTCATCCCCATCCTCTTGTGCAGGTCGCTGCACATGGGCATAGGTGTTGCGCTGGGGAGCACTGAAATGGCACAAAACAGATCCCCAGCACCCCTGCATGCTCCAGATTGGATCCCCCACCACCAGCTCACACTTGAGCACACACCAGAGCTCAGCCCAAACCTCCGGCACCAATTCACCGCTCCCACCACAATAAAAGGGTGAAGAGATGGATGGAGAGGACAAATTTATCCACTTACCAACAGATCCGGAGGCTGCGATCACCGCTGCCTCCGAGAGGACCTCCACGATGCCGGCACGCACGGTGGCTGCGCTCTTGCTATTGGCATCCAGGTGCCCCAGGAGCTGCTGGATCACGAGGTGGGAATGCTGCGGCTGGAAAGAGAGCGTGAACGTCAGCGTGGGTGCTGCATGCACGAGGTGGTGGCCTGGTTCTCTAACCCACATGGCTACTGGGGACAAATCCTGCACATGCACCCAGCTGCACCAAGTCCCTGCCCGGCTCTTTCCAAGACAGCTCCAGATGGAAAATGAGAGGGGGCACCTGGAGGAAGCCTGTTTTACATGACTGAGCAAGAGCTTGGAGCAATTTGCATGGGAAAAATGATCCAAAAGAGCTGTACAGATCTAAGGAAATTGTGACAGTTAAGCCTGGGGATTTCAGGGAGAAGGGATTTGATTTTTGCCAGGGTTTCCCAAACACATCTATACTTCAAAAGGGTCCTGCTGAGTTATTGTGACCTTACAACCTCCAATATGCATTAACAGGATTTTATATAAAATCTAGTAGCGCTGTAGAGGATTTTAGGCAGTTTACAGGATTAAAAACAAGAAACGAGAGCAGGGGGTGACGATCTGCTTTTCACTGTAAGAGTTCTCCAAGCAGAGCCATGGCTTGGCTGGGTCCAAAAGCGAAGCAAACTCCCAAGCGGGTGAAGTGAGGCAGCAGGTCTGGGACAGCCTCAGCAGAGCGGGAGCAGGGTGGGAAGGCAGCACCCAACAGCATGCAGGGACCCACGCAAACAGAGTTTCATTGAGATCCACATGGAAAAAGAAAGGATGGACCTTTTCCCATCACTCTGGGGTTTACCTAAACTGCATTTCCATGGCCCCCAGTGAGAAGGGAAGAGCCTGGCAGAGTCTGCCTCTGAGCACGCCCATGTCTAAGGACGGGGATGCTGGGCTGCAGGCACTGTCGTGACGCCTGTCGTGCCCAGGGCACGTTTCACCCCAGACAGCCCCTCTCCTTTTCCACAGGGATGAGGAGCTTGGGTTGATTTACACAGCAGCGATCTGGAAAGAGGCAGCTTTCCATCGGAGCCCAGCTGCTTCCTTTGGAGCGTTTCACAGCACGCCACTAGCCCGACTGATTCAGCAGGGCTTTGCTTTCCGCTGAGAGGGAAGGAATCACTCCCGGGACTGAGACACAAGCTCCATGAGCAGCATCCTAAAACACGCACGGCTGGCACACAGCCAGGCTAACTTAATGCCTGCCAGCCATTTCCCCGCGTACCTGTGGGGCCCTCAGCCCGCACTGCCGTACGCCCGGACTGTGCCCGTCTCCAGCCCGTTTTGGGGCACTCTTGGTGGTGCTCATTGCGAGCGCTCAGCCTCGGCCCTGCCGGGATGCGGCAATGCGGCGGCGGCGGCTCTGACTCAGCCCAGAGGCAGACGCGGGCGCTCCCAAGCATGCATGGGCGTCCCCAACCGGTGCCGCCAGCCAGAGTCCTGCCAGCTCCCCACCTGGATCGAGTACATGATGATCCTGAAGCAGCAAGTGGCAAAGATCTTCGGCTCCCAGAGCGAGTGGTTATCCAGGTGGCTGGGGAAGAGATGGAAATGGAGGGGAAAGTAACTGTCGGTCCCCGAAACCCTGCAGGGGTGCAAAGCAGCACCAAGCACCAGGGATGACCAGAAGCAGCAGGGAGCAAACACTGCAGGCAAGGGCAGGAACACAAACTCCTCTCTGGGGTGACTTTTCTCAGCGACCGGTATCTATCCCATGCCATCTTCCTCATTGCATCCAAAAATGAGAGCTCAGCCTGAAATCCAGTCCCCATCTCCAGTACCGTGCCGAGGGGAGTCAGAGGAGACCATGCCTTCGCCCCAGCTCCGGCCCGCATTGGCTGTTTCCCCGTGCCTCAGTTTCCCTTGTGCCAAAACCGAGGGATGCACGACTTACATGAGGACAGGTTTGATGGCGTTCTTGATGTTGCCGTACGCCGCTCGGCCCAGCAGCTCCCGCAGACACCTCTCCGCCAGCTCCGTAGGACTCTCCTTCTCCTTCTCGGTGGCTTGCAGCGGGGAGGGGGAGCGGCTGCGAAAGCAGAGGAGGGCGATGAGAGTGGCGCTGAGTGTGCGGCAGCAGTGGGGGAGAAGAGGCATGAAGCCTGGCCAGGGAGGGTTGGAGCAAAACGGTCGTGGCATCTGCCCGCACCCCGTGCCACGCAGGGCCGTGGGCTACCCCTGGCACAGCCCACGGCCACCCCGCAGCGGCCAAATGTCACCCTGCCAGGCAGACGGGGCAGAGCCCAGTGATAAAGCGCTGCTGGATTTGAGCCAGATCAGAGAGCAGCATGGGTGCATGGATTGCAGAGGAGGGGGACGTGCCAGGACGGCCCCGCTTGCAGTGCCAGGCTGTGCCAGGCGGCAGGGACAGCCTCCGCGTCCCTGGGACTGGGAGGAGGATCCCGGTGCTCGGTGTTGGAGGGGGAAGGATCTTATCGGTGAGGACGCAGGACATAACATCCTCCCGGGATAGACACAGCCTCCTGGGGGAGGAAGAGCAAAGCAGTCACGGCCCAGCACAAGTGACCCTGAACATGCACACCCCAGAGGAGATCCATCCCCTTTTTCCACACTGTCCTGGTTTTGGCTGGGATAGAGTTAATTTTCTTCCTAGTAGCGGGCACAGTGCTGTGGTTTGGATTTAGTATGAGAAGAATGTTGATAACACACTGACGGTTTAGTTGTTGCTGAGCAGTGCTTATGCCAGTCAAGAACTTTTCAGCTTCCCATGCTCTGCCAGGCGCACAAGAAACTGGGAGGGGGCACAGCCAGAACAGTTGATCCAAACTGCCCCAAGGGCCATTCCATACCATACGGCATCATGGGCAGTATAGAAACTGGGGGGGTTGGCCGGGGGCAGCGATCGCTGCTCGGGAACTGGCTGGGCATCAGTCAGCAGGTGGTGAGCAATTGCATTGTGCATCACTTGCTTTGTATATTATTATTATTATTATCATTATTACATTGTTATTATTATCATTACTATTTCACTTTATTTCAATTATTAAACTGCTCTTATCTCAACCCAGGAGTGTTTCTCACTCTTACTCCTCCGATTCTCTCCCCCATCCCATCGGGGCAGGGGCAGTGTGGTGCTGAGCTGCTGGCTGGGGCTAAACCACGACACACACTCTTGTTTGGCATCACACAGACACCATGAATGCTTTTTCCACCTTGATGCTTCAGTTTACAAGAAAAAAGGGAAAAGGCATCTGGCCAGAAGCCAACTTCCCAGGGCCAATACATCTCTCTTAACCTTCAAAAGGAAAATCCCAGGAGGAATTCACGCCTGCTTCTCTGCCCTGTGCTTCTCAGCTAAGCAACTCCCCTTCAAACACCCAGCTGGTGGCAAGCACGCAGCCGGCGGGGGGTTACGCCACAAGAATGGAGGGACAGCAAGCAAAGCCGTATTTCAGTCCCTGAGATTCCTCTTGCCTGGCTTTAAAATAACTGCTTGGGTATCATTTAAGCAGGAATCCCTCACAGAAGTCAACCCGCCGAACAGGCAGCTCAGAGCCTTTGCGAACAGCGTGCCTTAACTGTAGGGACAGCGCAGCTCTGCTCCACGGTTGTCACGGTGCCCTGCAGTGGCCAAGAGAGCAATGACCTTCACGGCACCGGGTGACACACAGAGCTCCTGCTACCTGCGGCATCCTTCAGTGAGGTACTCGCAGGATTTCCCCTCTGGCCGCTGGCCACGTTTTTCACAAGCTGCAGACACAAATCAGCCTGCAATGCCTCTGCTCTGCAAAACCTTGCCAAAAGCAGCCCTGGGGTCCCAAAGCCACTGGCCGAGCAGGGTCGTGGTAGCAGCAAGCTCACCTTTCGGCCTCTTCCACGTGCTGTAAGTTGAAGAGCAGCGAGGGCACGATTTTATCCATGTGCTGCGGGTCCCAGATGTTGGCTTGGAGCTCGTCATTCACCGTCTTCCTTACCACCCCTTGCAGGCCTTTAATGCCAGACATCCGGATCCTGGGAAACAAATTGACACCAAAATGCATATGTTATTTTACATTTATATATGCATATATACACAGGTGAAACCATGCAAGAAGTTGGAGAGAAGACGCTGATATCTGCACTGCTGGAGGGGTTCATGCAGGCGATGCCCCAGTTCCCAGCTCCAGGCCTGCTATACCCCAGGGCAATCCTTCTGCCTCGCATCCCCGAGAGATGCGGCTTCCCGCAGCCCGACAGACGCGAGCAGGAAAGGCTCTGAACCAACTAAAATCGTCCTGGCAGCAGCAGCTGGCTCCCATCCACCGTTGTCTTTCCCAGGAGGCCCCCAGGCGAGCAGCAGCCACCCATCTCCACGGCACGCTACCCGAGATGGAGAGGTGGCACCAGCGAGCCTGGCCTCTCTGAAGGATTTATTTTGGACCTGGGAGGTGTCTGCTCTCCAGCTGTGGCATGCATGGAGGCTTTTCCCATTTCCTCCATTCCCAGCAGCTGCAGAGCTGTGCTGTGCCCATGGGGATGTTGGGTGCTAAGGAAACTTAGGAGCTTTTTGACACCTGTGTGCTTTCTGGGACCAGAGATCCTGACTCTGCTCTAGTCATCAATAAAAGCCATCAATAAAAATCTCCCTACGCAGCAGGATTCTCAGGTCTGAAACCAGCCCTTCAACACCCACTGCTAACGCCCGAGAAAGACAACACGCACTTATCTGCAGAAATAAATGCATTAAGTAACCTGCTCTGAGGTCTCCCTAACACATTTTGCAGATCTAATCAAGGCAATAATCTGACCAAGACACCATTCGTGAGGGAGGAGCATTGAGCAGGACCAAGACCCCAGAAAACCAGTGTGCCTCTTTTTAATTAGAGGAGCTGCCAAATTTCTCTCTTTCAGTCTCCAATGCAATTTAGCCAGCATCACCGGTGCCCTGAAGGTCAAGTGGAAATAATGAGCCTTCTGCATTATTTCCTTATTAAGGAAAAAAAAAAAAAAAACCACCTGTGAGTCTGCAGCGGTAAAAGGAGGCGAGCCTGGGCCTCAGAGACAAGCCTCTGCTAGGAGTGGCGAGCCCCAGGGGTTCGCCCTTCTGCAAGGCAACCAGTACAGCAGCTCTGGGAACAGCACCAACACGATGCGCTGAAAATCTGCCTGACATCTGGGCTCTACTTAAAACTTGTCTCTGGCAGCAGTGGCCTCCTGCCCAGAGATTCCTGGCGAGAGCCACAGGTGCTGCGCCATCGGTACCTCACAGGGCCATTTTAAGCACCTTTTTAAGCAGTCTTAAGGTTTTTAAGCAGTCTTTTTAAATACACAACCGACAGGTCTGGCCTTGGCAGCAGTAAACAACATTAATCTGTCTGCTTTACTCGTAATTAATCCCCCCGGGGTACACTTCCCATCACAGCAAAGCAAGTCAGTCCTCGATGTTGTCTAGAGAGATGTAACCGCCTTTAAATGTGGTAAATAACAGACCACAGGGCTGCAGGAGGCAGTTTTTGAGTGAACATTCATTCTGGTAAGAGCGGGAGGCCTCCTGCCATCATCATCATCCTTCCTTTTGGGGCCAGGATCACTTCCTTGCCTCCCGCTCTGAGCTCCAGCTGTCTGCAGGCCATGGTCCTCGAGCAAAGGTGAGAAATGCTTAAAGATGCACTGAGGCAGCCCTGTGACGGGCAGACTGCAGGTGTTACCTGCTCACATTTTGCCCAAAGAACGGAAGTTGGAAGCCCGAGGGCACGTTTATTCCTTGTCCTGCCATCGGCCGTGGACAGAGCGAGCCAACGCCTGAGCGCAGCTGGCCCTGCTCTCCGGACAGCAAATGCAAACCAAATTCTGTCACATGCGTGTAATACTGCGTGCAACACCCCAGGCAGCAACAGAGGCTGGATACGTGCTGCACCATGTTTTCTAGGCTCCTGTTTCATCCCCCCATATAGTAAGCAGGGTTTAATGCTTGGAAAATAAGGGAGGGTAAACAACAGCAGCCTGAACGTGCCCAGCTCTGGGGAAATCACTGTGTGTCTCCATCACAGCAATCAAACCATGCAGAGCCTGCATCCAACCTGCCCCCAAAAGCAGGTGCTTCTCCAGGAAAGGCAGAGGCTGGAGGCAGAGGGAAGCCCCCCCCCAGGACACGATGGCAGAGCCAGCGGGGCCAGGGACACCCCACTCACGGTACTCACTTCGTCCGGATGTCGAGGTCGTCGTGGCTGGAGTGGCACATCTCGCTGAAGCGGGAGACAAAGAAGTCGTAGCTGCGGTGATAAGATGGGGTGTCCTCCTCGATGTTGGCAAACTTCACAAACTGGGAGAGAAGAAAGAGGGGGTCAGCCCAGAAGGCATGACAACAAAAATACTCATAAAATTCCTCTCCAAACCAGCAAACATTTGTGGGCTTCAGCAGTTAGGGATCCCTAATATGCAACACACACTAGTAACAGGAGATTTATTTGCTGCCAGCTTCTTTCCATCCTCCCAGACGGCACAAAACCTGGCCAACATTTCCCAAACACTGCTGCAGGGGTGAAAAGAGCCTTGGAAATGCCAGTGGAGAAACCAACTGCAAGCAGGTTCTTAACCACATCCCCGATCTCGCCCGCAGCACCCGGCAGCACGAGGTCCCATCGCTCCCTTCCAGCTTGGCTGCGCCAACAGGCACGGAGCTTGCCAGAAATGCCAGCTGACCAACAGATCTGGCTTTTAAGCTTTCAGGGAAAGAATTAAGGAGGAAGGAAGGATAAACATGTTTTCAAGCTTTCCTCTGAATTCCGAAACTTATTCACAAAGAGATGGGAACAAAGGGTCAGGGCAGGAAGGGGGAACGTCAACTCATCCAATCACGCCGACATGGGTCACTCTAAAAAAGGAAAAATAAATAAAACGTCAAGAGCACAAGAGCTGCCACAAAATCCAAGGCATCAGCTCCTGGCTGGCACCCACAGAGCATTCGGCCTGTGTCCCACTCAACAGCGCCTGCTGTGAACGGACGAGGTTTGTCCTTGGCCTGGGACAAGCATCGTGCCACCAAGACCCCGTGCTTTATCCTCCCGCTCGGAGCAAGGGCGTAAGCAGCTGCTTGCCAAGATTTTAGGCAGAGAAATCTGCTGGCTGCTTTTGTGCTCCTGTCCTGCGCCCGCTTCAGCATGCTGGCAAAGCTGAGGCTGTTTGCGTGGGCATGCAACGAAGGAAGAGGATGCTCCCTGTCCAAGCAATCCCCAAAACCACCCCAGCGGTTCACTGCTACCCAGCAACACTGGGAGAGCGACAGTGCCCATGCACTCAATCTTGGAAGCTGCTCACTAAAAATGCTCTCCTCCAGACTCGGAAATCAGCCAAGAGACACAAAGGAGCCCTTGGGAAAGATCCCAGCCCTGAGCCGACAGCAGAGGCAGAGGATTCAGCTGCACGCACCTACCACCTCGCCGAGCGAGACATCTCCCACTACGGGCACCCGCTCACACCGTATGCACGACGTGCTTCCACCAGACAGAGACGCTGCACCGTGACGCAGCGCCCATGCCGGCACAGCCCCATCGCTTACGACAGCGGGGCATGAAGCTCTGCGGTCGCACCGAGCAATCCCACATCACTCAGGCAAACTGTGCTGGGCCAAGGCATCAGGACTGCTGGGTTCCTCTTCCAGCTGGGAGGATCTAACCTACCTCCAAGGGGTTGGTTACTTGTGCACCCGGCATTTCTTAGGGTGCTCAGCACCCTCTGGAGATGCCACACGGCACGGGAGCTCCTTCTCCTTCTTTATCCCAACCCTGTCCACAGGCTTTTCTTACTTCTTGCTTTCTGCATTTGCCGGCATCCAGGCCCACCAAGAGAGCAGCAGGCAAACGGCCCACCGGTGCCCCTCCACAGCTGGCAAAGCCAGCCCGCCCATCCCAGCGCATCGCACAGGCACTGATTAGGATGTACCCGCTGCCCCGGGCTATT